ATATATATATATATATATATATATATATATATATATATATATATATATATATATATATATATATATATATATATATATATATATATATATATATATATATATATATATATATATATATATATATATATATATATATATATATATATATATATATATTATGATATAACGAAGAGGGAAGAATATTTTAATGTTATCTCTCTTGTTATAAGCTTGTTATATTCAGGTGTTAAGAAAATATTGTTTTAAATATACATTTTAAAGCATGTTAAACAAGCAAAAATATTGTTTGTTATATACGTTTTATGTATTTATATGTAATAGTTTTGAATGTTTTACAATATTTTCATGTACAATATTCATGTACACATACAAACAACACTTATATAATGGGTTAAGTTAATGAGCTGCGCTATTGAAGTTTCTCTAGCATGAGATGATATCGTGAATATAAACATAATGTAAAAAACCTATTTTTTGTTTACCACCATACTTGTTCCTTACGATATTAAACTGATTGATTCATATGTTCTTGCTGCGTCTGTATCTTTGCAACAACCTTTAACTTAATATGAGTGTGCTTGTGCTACAATATTTATTTTTAACCAGTTATTCAGAATGAAATAAAATTTTATAATAATTGTCAATGGAAACGAATGGTGGCTAAACTCTACCAAAAAAGAAAAATATTTCTACTAATAATTTAATTTTTAAAATAAATGTTTTAAACCTTTGAAATTTTTGGTTAAAAATAAAAAAATTTGTTATTTGTCTATTAAAAACGTGGTATCGACCGCCATAGAGGCGTACTCCCAAGACAAGAGGAGTACTTGGGTGCAGAGTTGGCCCGGCCAGGCTATACTTTGTGTGTCGCAATTGTATTGGACTTCATACGTGCACGAGGTGGCTATTTACATAAATTAGCATATCTAATTAGCATATATTAACACACACACACACACATTTATGTCCTGGGTATGACATAAAACTGCATCCACGCTGCCTTGCGTGCTTTTGAGCAAAAGGCTAGGCTCACCGCTTATAACTGGTGGTTGTCGTCAGGATGGGTGTCCGTATGTAAAAACTTTTCCCCAAATTATTCCTATGCCATCACAAAGAAAAACAACGGCCCCTAGTCTCCAGCAGGCTTTAAGTGGTCAAGGGGTGCCAAGAATCCCTGGGAAGTATGCAATAGCGGAGGGATGTTGCAGAAAAATTCAGAATGGCCCCTCTATGGTACTTAGACTTGGAACGCTCAATGTTGGATCACTGACTGGCCGCAGCATGGAAATCGCAGAAATGCTCGAGCGTAGGATTGACATCTGCTGCCTTCAGGAAACCCGATGGAAATCGAATGGTGTCTGTCATGTCAACTCAGACAAAGAAAAATATAAACTATTCTGGAATGGTCAAAAGACGGCCAAAATGGTGTTGGAATTTTTGTCAGAGAACCGCTAGCCTAAGAAGTACTGAATATTGAAAGGATTAATTCACGTCTCATGGGGATCAAGCTTCGCATAGAAAAGCAAACAATGATTATTTTTTCTGCATACGCACCACAGACAGGCGAATCAGAAGAGATGAAAAATGACTTCTGGACTGCATTCTCTGACACCATTTCAACAATACCAAAATCTGAAACAATCCTGATTGGAGGCGATCTCAATGGCCACGTTGGAGAGAAAACAGATGGTTTTGACAACGTACATGGCGGTTTTGGCTATGGAAAGCGGAATGAAGATGGCAACCGCATCCTTGAGTTTGCTGAAAGTCACGGGTTTTGTTTACTGAACACATATTTTGGAAAGAGGTTGGAACATCTCATAACATACAAAAGTGGACCATCAGACACGCAAATTGATTTCTTCGCTGTCAAGCAACCACACCGAAGGCTGTTCAAAAACGTCAAAGTTATACCTGGCAGATCAGTGCAGAGAGTGGCTCACTAAAAGCAAAGGTGAACAAATGAAATCTCTGTATCGTATAGCAAAACAAGCAAAGCGTACGAAAAAAGACATAGTTGGTGCCTCATGTATCAAAAACGACAAAAATGAGATGGTTCTTGAACAAGATGAGATCAAGCTACAGTGGAGAGAATACTTCAATCGTCTGTTAAACGAAACAAATCTCATCAATGTTAACTTTGACGCTCCACCCATTGAAGGTCCGATTCCAGACATCACTGTAGAGGAGCTTACAGCTCTGAAAGCTATGAAGGATGGAAAGGCAGCAGGGCCTTCTGGACTCACAAATGACATTATCAAAGCATCTGGTACTGCAGGTATCTAAACGTTACTACAACTTTGTCGTGAAATCTGGAGAAATTGCTCAATGCCGACTGAATGGAACTATAGCATGACAGCCCCGCTATACAAAGGCAAAGGTGATCCATTGAACTGTTCATCATATCGGGGTATACGTCTGTTAGAACACTCCCTGAAAATTGTCGAAAAAATCATTGAGAGAAGATTAACGTCGTGCATCACAATCGGAAATTATCAATTTCGTTTTCTAGCGGGGAAATCAACAATTGATGCAATTCTCATCCTTCGGCAACTGCAAGAAAAGTACCTTGCAAAGGATCAACAACTATCACACATTTTTGTAGACCTTGAAAAAGCATTTGATCAAGTTCCCCGTGAAGCAGTCAGATGGAGTCTACGTCGACAATTCATTTCACAATATCTTGTTCGACTTGTGATGGAAATGTATACGAATACTAAGACTTTTGTCAGCACAACGGTTGGAAACACAGATGCATTTGACATCGGCGTTGGAGTTCACCAAGGCTCGATTCTCAGTCCACTGTTATTTATAACTGTGATGGAAGAAATCACAAAACCGATACGCACTGGTGACATTTGGAATCTAGTATATGCTGATGATATCGTTTTAACAGCCACGTCTGAGCAGAATGCAGCACAGATGTTTGAAGATTGGAACACCAGACTCGCCGATCATGGATTCAAAGTCACCATCAGCAAAATCAAAGCAATGAACACTGGTGAACATATCCAATCCACAGCTACTGGACGAGACGATGGCCCTGTTCAGTTTGTAAAGCTGGTGTAGGTAACAATTCAATCAAGTGTCAGCAGTGTAACCAGTGGTGTCACAAACGTTGTTCAAAAATAATTGGTACTTTATCTAAAGTGTCAAATTTTGTTTGTCCTGCTTGCATCAATCCACAACAACAAATTCAAAATAGCACTGTTTTTGAAGCCATTAAGGTAGAGAAAGTCACATCGTTTCAATATCTAGGGGATGTTCTGGATTGTACTGGAACAGCTGAAGCTGCCGTTCGAGCACGCATACGTGCAGCCTGGAATAAATGGCATCTCCTTGCCTCTATATTGATGCAGCGTGACATCCCACTTCCACCACGATCAAGACTTTATAAATCTGTGATACGTCCGGTGTTGTTATATGGTGCAGAAACATGGCCAATGACAACCAAACTGGAACAACAACTTCAACGAACCGACATGAAAATGCTCCGATGAATGCAACGAATTAGTCTGAAGGACCACATCAAATCTACCGAAATCCTGCGTCGTGCTGGTTTAGATGATATAAAGGACGAATGCCGGCAACACTGTCTGCGGTGGTTTGGTCATGTCAAACGAAGTGGAAACAGTGCCATAACTTCTCTTGCAGATGTTGAAGTACCTGGCACACGTCCCAAAGAAGTCCTGGTCGCAAACAATCGAGCAAGACATGAAAGCTCTAAATTTAAATGAAATGGATACAACTGATCGTCTAATTTGGCGCAAAAAGTTGATGGCAAAGAAAACAACGTCCTACCTCGGGAAACCGGGTCTCTGGACGCGAAACGAAGATTGATTGATTGATTGATTTGTCAAATTTTTTGCCCATAAAATGAGTCTCATACTACTCCGAAAAATCGTTCCACTTTTTTTGCTATTATAACATAGATGTAGCACATTTCTTATTGACAAACCACCGAACTCAATAAACAGCCCAACGGTTTTTTAGCCGTTTTCATTTTTCAATTATCCAACTCCAATCTCCACGAAATTTTCTGCCATAGCTGTTTACAATTCAGTTTAGTCGGACTCGTTCACTCATTGTTATTATTTAGTGGCATTTTCTGGAATCTGAGTCTTTTTTTAAGTTTTTCATTTAGTTATTCTGGTTTTACTCATAATAATCTTCATTTCAGATTTGTCGTTTGGGATTTTTTTAATCTTTTTGTTTGAAAACTTTCTATTCGTCAATCAAGAGTTTCTACGATATAATTCTTTTGACGTGAAGATGAACTGATTCAACTGAAGAAGCAAACAGACGATTGCATTGTGATTCAATCTATGACTTTCACCGTATTATTTTATAATACAATTCGTGTTTTTCACGTTTTCCGAATAAAAAGGTTGGAAAATGTTTGTAGGTATGCTTCATACTGTTACAACGTTTTTGTTATTTATACTTTCTTTCTCCATATATATAATATATATATTTATATATATATATATGTATTATTAAGAGTAATTTATTAGCGCTAATTAAAACTGTTTCATGAGCGCTCACATTAAAAAACAAAATGTACCTATATATTTACACACACACGCAATAATTGCATATTATATATATATATACATATATATATATATATATATATATATATATATATATGTTGGTAATAGACCATAATTTAAAAAAATTTTAAAATATATATATATATATATATTTATATATTGTTCTTTTAACAAAATTTCATCATAATTATAGCATAAAAGATGATGCACATGAATAGCTCAGATCGTACCTATCAAATCGCACACACAATCTACTATCTGAAATTTCAATTACTGCATCAGGAGTACCTCGAGGCTCAGTTTTGGGACCCGTCCTCTTTTTGCTGTACAAGTCGGACATTACCAGTTCTTATGGTTTCGTCTGTCACGCATTTGCTGATGATATTCAAGTACTGGTTACTAGTCCTTTGAGTTCATTTAAATTTGAGGTTGACAGACTTTTCAGGTGTTTATCAGAAGTGGGTCGTTGGATGTTATCAAACTCGCTAAGGCTAAACGAATGCAAAACTCAGTTGCTTCTAGTTGGAACATGGCAGCAGTTGTCAAAGATTGATTTCAGCTTTGTTAAAATAGGAGATGTTGATATATCATTTATCAATACAGCTTCCAACTTAGGTGTTCTGCTTGATAGAAAATTGTCAATGAAAGACCACATTAAAAACGCTGGTCCATGCCCTTATTAAATCTCGTTTAAATTATTGCAACAGCTTGTTTTATAAGCTACTAGACACACCAATCATAACCCTTTAGTCTGTACCAAACAGAGCTACCAAACTTGCTATTGGTGGCCTAAGATTTGATCACGTGACACCGATCTTAATGGAGCTTCACTGGCTGTCGATAAATAAAAGAATAGTCTTCAAAATTGCAGTTCTTACGTTTAAATCTCTAAATGGTCTCTCATCAGAATATATGACAAGTAAATTCTCCAAAAAACAAGCTACATCGACTTTTCATTTCAGGTCGGATGATTTGAATTTGCTGTTTGTGCCTGTTACGCGTTTGCAAATTGGTTCAAGTTGCTGGTTCCGCAGTTTGGAATAGTCTTTCACCGGCGTTGAGATGATCTGGTCGTTTATTGAAATTTTTTAAGAAAGATTTGAAAACATTTTTATTTTCTGTTAAACTGAAAATTGTGACTTTTTTAATTTTTGTTTTTCGTATATAGTCATGTACGTACGTACATTTTGTTTTTTAATGTGAGCGCTCATGAAACAGTTTTAATTAGCGCTAATAAATTAATCTTAATAATACATACATATATTTAAATATATATATATATATATATATATATATATATATATATTACGAAAAGTAAAAGTTATGTTGTTATATTGCAAAAATGTTTCTTAAATTGATTTTCGCTTATACACAGACATACGCATATGTATTAATATACACATATGCATACATACCTAAACATACAGTGTAATATATCTCATATCAATGTATATACATTATTTATTTATACATGGATAGATATGTAAACATAGACTTATAAGACCTACTCCTCGGTTGCATATACAAATTCCTATATGTTTTTTACGTTAACCTTTTTATACATTTCAATTTTAAAGCATCTCTCATCTTTCGCTATCGTTCGTTATTTGTCTGTTGCAAACGTTTGTTCTGTTCATTCGGCAGTCTATGGTGCATATTTGAGGAGATAACTGAGAGCACGTGCTTTGGATAACATTATTTCGTTATTTCGTTAAATATGTTGAGACACGTTTCACGGATTCAATTTGATCATCACGTGCAATGCTTTCTCCGTTCTGGATTGTAAATATCATAAGCAGTTGATTATAATCGTTATTGTTGCCGTTGTTGTTGTGGTGGTCGTCCAATCATGCTTTTCTCTGGAGTTGGGAAAAAACTTACTTCATTCAATGGTTTCTATTTCTATTTGCAAATACTGTACATTATATTTCATTTAATAATTTTCTAGTAAAACTTATAACATATAAATACATTTTTGCAGTACACATTCGAACATTTGATTTTACTTTATTAAACAAGTTTCAAGATTTTTTTTAACATCTCGTTTTACGTAAACATTCGTTTCATTCTGTTTTTTGGTATTAGTCGTTTTTACGACATGTTTTTAATCACCGTTATTATCCTCTAAGTCTAAGAACATATCCGTATATTGATATGAATAAAAAATGCCAATCAATATTTCAGTAAAACATGCAAATAATTTTGTAACGAAGAAACGCAGAGCTTGTCATGAAATTTATGCGTAAAAATTGAGTTAAGCTAGATGGAGGAACGTCTAACTTGAAGAAACAACGACATATTATATAACAATTTGAAGATTCGGTACAAATGAAATATTTTTATTAGAAAATAAAATGGAACATTAATAAATTTGTCAGCTGAAATAAAGTCAAATAATTAACTAATGTCATTAATGAGTGATGGTTTTGAAATGATCGAGTATCATTATTTTCTATATCTTAACTAGGTGATGGCGTGTGTGTGCGTGTGCGCGCGTGTGTGTTTACGTTAGAAGGGATTATGCGTGCTTGTTTAAATGGACTTTTGTATTGTGTAACAAAGTTAGATAGTGTTGTATTTGAACGAACGATGTTATGATTGGCTAAGCAGGAGCCAGTGGCGCATCCTGAATTTTTCGGTGGGGATGATTTCGGAATTTTAATGTTGATGGCCCTTTTCAGCTGATTTTTGCATTTCCCCTGGATCCCCACTGGCAAGAGCCATATCATATAATTTTATGTGGAAAGGATTTATTGAAATTATTTAAAAATTGTTTACATGGAGAGCTGTGTTTAGAGTTGAAATATACATTTCATTTTTGATGTTTTTGTTAATCTGTGCAATTAATTGATGATGTTATTTTTATAATTTCTGATATGAATATTCATTATTTGAGATAAGGCGAATCTAGATACGATCTAATGGTATTTGTGTTTGGTGATGGTATGACGTGGCGTGATTGTTGTTACTTGCAACTTAAGATGAACTTTATGTTAACAGCTCCACCGGTGATTACAGAGTCATTAAGAGATCAAACAGTGGTTGAAGGTGAGCCTGTTGAATTTCGTTTGAAAGTTTCGGGCAATCCACCACCTACCATCAAATGGTACCTCAATGGAAAGGAAATCGTCAGTTCACCTGATTTTCTGTTGAATTCAAATAATAATGTGCACACTCTGAAAATCGCCGAAGTATTCAACGAGGACAGAGGATTGTACACTGTTGTCGTTCGAAACAAGCACGCAGAAGTTAATGACAAGTGCAGACTACAAGTCAAACGTTGGTCATTTTTTTTCTTAAAAATGTTCAAATTCTATTTAATATAATGTTACACATTGCGCTTGGTTCTTATAAAATCGAATACTACATATGCAAAAAACGAAACATAGTAAGCAACAATACTACAATTTAATTTTGTAGAACTGACAATTTAAATTTGAAAGCGGTTATTTTATTGAATGTAACCAGCTGGTAGCAGTGATGTAACTGCAGCGACAAGAAGCACCACCACTACCAACAACATCAACAACAGCAGAAGCAACAAATCTCCAACGACTTCTAAACTGGCATTTGCGTTAGAAGATAGTTACAAGAATAAATCATCACTCTCTGGTTTCACAAAAGTATTTCAATTTTACTTGCTGCGGATCATGTGCTGATGTTCAATCTTCTTTTTTTATTTGTTACTTTTCTCGTGAAACTAATATTTTAACGCGTCGAAATTTTGGTATTAATAACTTATTTTTATATGCGTTTCTGGTATATATGAGCTTAATACAAAGTAGTTCATTCAGTAAGCAGCCAATATTGACAGCTCACGTTTTCTTCAATTATTTTTTTTTACAAAACTCACTCGTCAACATGTAACTTTGCCATAACAAGTATCTTTACATCAACACGTAACTTTACTCATGAAGCACCTGACAGACAAGACATCGGAATCAGGTGACGACGTCATTCTCGAATGTACCGTCCCTCTCTTCCCGGTCCCCGAGAAGGTCCTGTGGTTCAAGGACGGAATTGAACTGTCTAGGTCCATTCCCAGCATCAGGACCTCCAGCAGGTTCGATGCTTGCTTGTTTGTCTGCTTGTTTGTTGTTTATGTGCTTGTTTTGTTGCTGATTCTCGTCCGAATTTTCACTTTCTTTTTTGTCTCTACATGTTTTTTTTACTCTACATGCATTTACATGAGCGTGTGTTTAATTATTTTCTGTTTACTATTGTTTGGTAGTCGGCTGTTTTTTGGACCATTTTAGCGTTTAATAATTGCAGCATGTTTTGTACTCTTTTTAAAATAACTCACACTTGAAAAAGTAACAAAATTCAACGTCTGATTGTTTTGATAATTGATATTAATAAATTTGTTAATATAAGTTGAAGAAATATGACAAAAGAAATAATGTTATGTCATCGCGTATACAATGCAGGCATGGAGCATGCAGGCTGGTCATTGAACAGGCGGATACATCTCATTCTGGAAAGTTAGCTGGCAGGCTTCTTCTACGTTTCATATTTTTTACTCTATCATCAGTTGGTTTATATGTCTAAGTTATTGACGCAAACTTCTCATCTTATATTTTGACAGATACGTGTGCAGATGTACCATGGGTGGCAAAACGTTTGAGACAAGTATGAATCTCACTATAGCGAGTTGGTTATTGTGATGTTGTTGTTTGTAAGTTTTTATGATGTTGTTGTAGTTGCTGCTGCTGGTTCAGTGTGGTGCTGTTAATGTTGTCGTGACGATGTAGAGGCTCCTGGTTTAGCTGCTGATGTCGTTATTAATGATGTTTTTAGTGTTGCTGTCGTTGATTGCGATGTTTTTGATGATTTTGTTGCTGGCGATGCAGTTGTACAAGGATACTATTAATATTTTCTAATGAAAAATGAATATAATATTACAAATCAGATGTTTTTACAGTTTTGTTAATTTTCTAATTGTCCGTTATTCACAATTGCTAATCCAATGCTCCTGTTACTTGATTGATGCTAACTTTCAATATCTCCCTCACTAAGCAATTTGCTGCAGCTGCTGTTGTTGTTATTTATTTTATATTTTTTGTTGTTTTATGACCCTATTGAAAGACCGCTGCTCTATATGTGTTATAGCTAGTAACTGTTATTAAAATGTTTTGGAATTTTTTTTGCATTAATTAAGATTTCGTTTGGTTGGTTCAGTTGTTATCATTTGCATTTTTTTATTTTTAAACACATTTCTGTGCAAAAGTATTGCAGGTTTTTTGAGATTTCATGTAAACTTGGCATGACAATTTTGGTCTCACCTTCTATGATTATTTCAAGTTATAGAGGTGAATTAACACGTTTACTTTGAGAATTTTTCTAATCCGACGCAATTTTTGCCATTTATATTCTTGATGCAAGGTACGTCACAAAATTCCCAATTTCAGTTATTTTATTTTAAGGCACAAAGTTCAAATAAGTAAATTTATAAATGGTTTTTCGATATATCGCTGGTCCACCGCATCTTTTCATCATTGCTTCAAAACGCCTTCTCATTGAATTGATCAGCTCTTGACAAAAATCGGCAGACTTCATAATACCAGGCTTAGTTATCAACTTACATTTGACGCAATACTTTGAGATAGTTTTTCAATAAACTTATTCTACTTGATTTACAACAACTAAGACTTAGAGATGAAATTTTTGTTGAATACGTTGGAAAAACATTTTTAAACGTGCCATACCTTTGCACATGAGTGTGTTAAGTAAGTAATTTTTTACTTTTAGAAGAACTCGAGGTTGATTGATTGATTGCCTAATAAATACTAACTCATTCAGGAATAATCGCCTGCAATATAATTTCTATCATTTTTGAGCCCGATATAAAATTTTATTTGAAATCAACCTTGATCACTTTCAACGTTTACAAACGAGCAGACAAACAAGCAGCAGGAGGGAGCAGCAAGTACTCGTTCTCCACATCAGCAACCCCCATCTCGGTTGAACATCACAAAACTCCAGTCCCTCAGGCACCACCCCCTCCATCCATCCCACCCATCACATCCAGATCATCTGATATTCCGGGTGACCGAAAGGTTGTTTTTGAAACTTTTTGTGAAATGCATTCATTTTGTTAACATTTTATTCATCACGTGCAGTTCGAAGTTTTGTCGTTTGAATCCTCTTTGAAAGAACAATCTGGTGCTCCAACTTATCCTGCATTCAACAGCAACCTCGCCAATGTTTTCAGCGGTTCTGCAACATCCAGGCTTCTTCAAACAACATCAACCGCTCCCCAGTTCGTTAAAAAGTTGGACAGATGTGAATTTGTTGAACATTCGAATGCAACTTTCCAATGCACTGTCAGCGGACAGCCTGCTCCTAATGTTATTTTTTTATCATATATCTCTTTTCAAATGATTTCCAATTTCTTAAAGTTATTTTTGTAATGTTTATAGCAACAACAATTATTATTGCTGCCAACAATAACTTCTGTATATTGTTACATTCATTGTTAGTGCCAACATAATCACTTAGTCTCACCGTATTATGTATGAACATTTCACCTATGAACCTCTCCTCATTAAACCTTTTCACTCACGCGTTATCACAAACACGGTATCAGATTCAGTGGTACCACTGTGGTCGGCTGATACGCCCATCTACCAAGTACAACATGAAACTCACCACTTCTGCAAGCCAGCCAAGCCAGCCACAACCATCTCAAACGTCGCCGTCGTCGGGACCCTTGCACACGTGCACGTTAACAGTTCTGAACTGCAGCACGCAGGACATCGGTCACTACACGTGCTGTGCTCTCAACGTTACAGGCAGAGATGTGTGCAGTGCTGAGTTGTTCATCAAGGGAGCCACTGATGTCGACACCACTTCGTACGTCGACCCTCACACTCTTAAGAGTCTCATGAACCCAAGGTACTGCAAAACATTCTTGAGAATTTTCAACTATCTTACAACTTTAATTCCATTTCAAACATGTGTGATAAGTTTTTTAGCGTTATTCGATAGCATGTTATCTAAAATTGTGTTAATTAAATTTTATCAACTAACGACACTTATACGAAGAAAGAGTGCGAGCACTCAACGATTATTATCTCTGCACTACCAGAGCATTACATTGCCGTTTCTATAACGTCATTCCAGATCAAGTTTGTTGAAGCGTGACGAGACAGAAGCCGGTGTGGCGGAAGTTTATGTGGAACCATTATTTGGAAAGTTGCCATCATCTTCGTCATCGTCATCTCCTCTGCGGTCTGGCAGTGTTGACGATCCTGTGCTGGCACTTGTCGGAGAAACAGCCAGACTGGATTGCAAGGTACGTACGTGTGTATGTGTTTGCCTGTTTTCTGGGTATGCCTTTTTGTGTATGTTCATGTGATTGTTTCTCTCTGTTTACGTTAGCATGGGTCTGCACTTGTTTGCTAAATTTGCTAAATTGTATTGGTTAATTCACAAATCTGATGTCCTGGTTATGACATTAAACTGACCCTCACTGCCTTGTGAGTGATGTTGGATCATCAAAGGCTAGGCCCACCGCTTATAACTGTGGTTGCGTAAGGAAGGGCGTCCTGATTAAAAATTAGCCAAATAAATTACTTATGATGGAATGGAGCGAGGGGTATTTCGGTTTCATCACAGGTAGCCAAACGGCAACCCCCGATCTCGGGGAAAATGTCGTCTAAACGTGTGTTGTTGTTGTTGTAATTCACAAATCTATTAATTTCTTGGGAAGAATGTTATTTTATTTTGTGCACGCAATTGCTTTTTTATGATACTTCAAATAAAATAAATGGAAAAATAAATACATGAATGAAGGTATGTACAATGTGTCAGTTTATTTTTTTTATCATTTGAACTTCATAAACGATCCCATTGAATGAAAATGTTGTGATATTTTCCCCTGCAGATATCTGGCCATCCAGTTCCAGACCTGACGTGGTACAAGGACGGCAGAGAGCTTATAAGGGGCGGTCGCTATCTGATGTCAGTCAATCAAGAAGGAGTCCATTCGCTCATCATTAAGTTGGCGAAGATCTCAGATTCTGGAGTTTACACTTGCAGGGCAAGCAACAGGGCTGGTCAGGCAACAAAAGATATTTTCTTGAATGTTGAAGGTCAGTTTATTATTTTCATACATTTTTTTTATTTTAAATTTTACTAATTGATTGGATCTACATTCATATTTTAACAGAGTTTGTTCTAGCAATATTTTTGATTTATTTTAATTTTTGTTGTGTTGCTTTTTTAGTTTTGTAATTTTTGTGCATTAAGGTGGTGGTGTAAGGTAAACATCATTAATATGTACCATTGATACGAAAATACTTTTTCAAATTTCATATTCAGATGTAAAGCCTCAACTCGTTCAGACAGCTCACATGTTAGAATGTTGTCACTTTCACTTTACAACTGACATCAACTTGTTTTATAATTTGTGTACTTCGTGACATTGTTGAGTTTTATTCATTTCGACGATTGATGGTCGTTCAGCATCGATGAGTGACGTTCGTTTGAGTGTTTCTTATAAAAATACTCAGATTATGTTGGGACCGTATCAGACTGACCTTCTTATCAGACTGAATTTATCACCTAGGACTGTTGCGACAGATTTGAATTTATCACAATCAATTTAAAATTTTTTTCTTCGTCTTAGTTCTTACGAAAGATATTTCGCATTTGAAATGAGCAGGCAATGGGATGTGAAGTTGTCAGACAATGCAGCTCCATCCAGTCGTGAATCAACTCCACCTTCTTCATCATCTTTCAAGGGATTCTCTGATTCTTCCAAGATGAAAATGTCAAGCAAACAGGCAGATATTGCGAAAAATATTTCAAAAACAGGGTTTGTTGTTTTTATATTTTAAAGTTTAAAAGAAAGTTTTTGCTATATTGTTATTACTTTTTAAATGTTTTTATAATTAATTAATAATTTTATTCAATAAACAAATCTGAATTGTTTTTTTTATAAAGAAATAAAAAGTTTGCTACTTTTTAAAGAGTATAATTAATGTCGTTCTTATACCTTTTTCGAAATTTTTCTGTTTTCATTTGCATTATTTAGGCTTACTAATATTTGTTCATTTCCTAAATTTTTTCTCTATCTAGTGTTGTGCTTCTTGAACTTTTGTTATATTTCAATTTCAGTGTTTCTAGTTGTATTTGTGAGTGACTTTGTTTCTAATTGTATTTATGATTGACTTCAACTCCATTTAGACTTCCAACGTCGTCAACCAGTTCGTCATTCAAGCTAACGACATCGTCATCGATGACGTCATCATCATCATCATTTCATGATACGTCAACACCATCATCCCAAGTTGTCTCAACGTCATTTTACACAACAATGGCAACAAAGACAACTCCATTTAACGATACAACACTCACTTATGGTGCTTCTTCTTTCACATCATCATCAACAACATCATCAACATCATCAACATCATCAACATTTTACACGATGCCATCTTCATCTTTGTCATCAAAGTACATATCTCCATCTTCAACGAGTTTTTTCATTTCTTCATCGACACCTTCCATGTTTTCAACTTTCTCAACAGCTACAACCCTTTCCACTTCATCCCAATTGACAGTCACAGTAACCACTTCGCCTCTCATTTCACAACCAGTCACACAGTACCTCTCCATAGCGATCACCTCGTCATCAGCACCTACCACACCTTACTCTATCTCATCTATGTCATTATCACATTCAAAAATGAACCAACAATTGACAACAGCAACAACAACGAATAACGACACAGAATCATTGATTTCAAAGAAATATTCTGCAACGACTTCATCGACAACAATCACTTCCTTTCCGACTATCATTTCAACATCAACAGTTTCCTCTTCTCTACCATCCTCTAAGTATGATCTATCGTCATCTGTACTGACTCGCCCGAGAGAACACGATCAAGATCACCATGCACCAGTATTTTTAGTTTCACCATCTGCAGTGGAAACAGAAGTAAATGGCAGGGCTAAGTTTTTGGCGAAAGTATTGAGCAACCCTCCTGCTTTTGTCACTTGGTCCATTGACGGCATGGAGGTTTTTAGTGTAAGCCTGCTCGTTCATTCTTCTTCTTAGTTTGTTTATTGCTTTTGAGATTTCTAACTCTCAATGTTTAAATCTTCTAACCGAAATTGCTACGATGTGTTTCATAAAGTTACTTAGACGTTGATAAATAATAGAAACGTTATAAAGGGTGGGAAAAGGTTTAAACTGATGTAAACCAATTATTGGGAAACTGAGATTTATCGATCTGGAACACTGCTAATGTTCATTTCAATAGTGAATGAATTAATTGTTCAATTTATAATGCAATGCCAACAAATGTTTTAATAATAAAATTATGACATCCGTGTAAATAATTTGCTGTTAAAGGTAATTGTATAAATATTAACTCAAAACAGAGTTCTCGTTTCAGTGTCAGCTTCGACGGACTGATGCATATCTTGGAAATCTTGAAAGTGAAAAAGTATGACCATGGAGAAATAAAAGTCATCGCAAAGAATTATAAAGGTCTTTTTATATTTCTTGTTTCTCAACAATATTCAATTTTTAGATTAAATAACTTACAGCTTGTTTATTTTATAACTTCATTCCCTATGTATGTACTATGTTACGGTAGAAATTTGGATATCTACTTGAAAACATTTGAATTTATATTCAGGCAGCACCGAGAAGTCAACTCAGCTGACCGTTCGAGACGCCCCTGACCTGAGAGCCAGTCTGCACCATGCACCACTTCTTCCTCGCCAAGGTAAGCCACAACATTTTTATTTAAGTTGTAGTTTTATTTTTGTACTGTTCATCAAAAGCACGATATATAAACAAAATAACAAAATAAATTATGTGAAAATTGAAAACAAGTTAAAACGAGAGACAAGAAGTGTGAGAGAACCGTAAAGATCTAAATATTCTGTGTTTGAAAGAATAAAACTTGCCCGAGTTTCATTATAATGCGCTTGGTATGATTTTATTCAGAACCATGCTGAGGTTTTGCTCTATACTTTTATAATTGTAAGTAGCATTATAAGTTGCCGATCAATTAATAAGCATAATTTAGTGAATAAATATTCAACTTACGATGACGTCAGGAGGGGAACATGGCCTGTACAACGAAGAGACCTCATCGCACCTCATTCAAGGTTTGTTACTTCTAGTTGAAATCTCAAAACATTTTATTGATTGTTAAGGAAAGCATGCTCGATATTGTTGATTTAAAAAATTATATCCTGATAATTTATGTTTAACAGTTTAAAAACTTTTTTTATTCTTTTTTATTTTAATTTCTGATGAACTCGGAACTCTAATGGAAAAGTCTCAATCATTTACAAAAGGCCTTTTTTAAACACTGTTTATTTTAACTAGTCTTTCCATTTTATTCAAAATTCCATTAATAAAAGATGTTGCAACGTAAAGAAGTATAAAGTATATGTACTGTGCATGCAATAATCTGGATGTTAATATGAGATGTTATCATGAAACAAACCGCCACGAATGAGTTTTGGGAAAATTTGATCAGTGTCAATCAATGTTATATCAGAGTATCAATGTATCTTAATATCAATTTCATATCAGAATATCATTGTGTATGAGCATTAGTATCTGAGTATGATAGTTACATCAGGATGTCAGTGTCATGACGTCGTATCGAAGGATTGAATAGCGCATCCTTTCTGATGTATTGATAACACGATAATGTGGAATGTTACTTATGGAAAAGTGGTTTGAAACAGCACAGTGATATAGAAATTATGTTTACGTCATAATTGGGTGGAAATTTTATGGATGAATAATTTATTTGATTATTTTTTGTTTTAGCCAATGTTTTGCACGAATCATTAAAGTTGTTACAATGCATGCTTATCTTTAAAATAATATTGATGTTGTGTTATGTCAGAGTGCTAATGCATGCTTTTCGTAACAGCGGTATTTTGTTTTATCATAATTTGTTTTATATAATTAATTTATTAAAGTTACCTTCGTAACAACATGTTTAAAGTCGATTGCGTATTGTAATATAATTTTTTACTTCAGCATGTTGTTAATGTTTTTAAATTAACATTTTGGAAGTAAATTTTCATCATTGCGGCTAGTGTTTAATTTTGATTGGTCAAGGAATGATTTTTCCAATTTGTATTTCTCCAAGACGCATGTGAGTGTTTTATTGACGTTCACTTTCAATTAGTTGATTTATATATTATAATTTTCATAATATTTTATTTGTGTCAGTTTTTTTGGTTACATTTTTAAATTAGTTTTTCATATTTTATTATTTTCATGAAGATTCGCATCCATTTTTGACAGCAAAGCACGTCTCCTCACGATCAGATTCACTGCCAGACATAAAGCTTGATGGTACTGTTACAATTCTATTTGGAGTCATTCATTAAGCATAACTTTGAATTTCAATTTTCAGGTAATCAAAGACGATCATGTCCTCTTTTTGTAGAAAAATTGAGAGATGTTGAAGTGAATGATGGTGATCCAGTTGAAATGAAATGTACCGTCGCTGGTTATCCGGCGCCTGTTGTATCTTGGCTGAGAAATGGGAAAGACATTAGTTTATGCAAAGATTATATTGTTAAATATGATCTAAGATCAGGCGTTTGCCAGTTATCGATAAAAGACTGCATGCCAGACGATAGTGGTGCATTTGTTTGCATTGCTAGAAATTCTCACGGGCAGACAGAAACAGCATGTAAACTTTTAGTTAAAGATGATTTAGCGGTTGCCGGAAACGAACAGGTGTTTGATTCTAAACTATCTAACCAAGAAAAGTTTACAAGTTCTTGTCGTCCGATGTCTTTCACCACCTTGAAAGAAATGCTAAAAAGAGATTTAAGTGCTAGTCCTCAGAGCACTCTTCTAAATAATCAATTTTATGGACCAGTGTTTACGAAACATTTGAATGATATCGAGGTTGAAGACAGCAGCAATGTAACTTTCAGTGTTTCCTTTGACGGATTGCCACAGCCTTCAATAGCTTGGTATTTTAACGAAGAGCTTCTCAAGTCAAGTGCAGATTTTTTTATAGATACGGATCAAACACTGAAAGAGTCAAGGCTTGTTATTAAGGAGTTATTTCCTGATGACGAGGGAACATACATTTGTAAAGCTGTTAATTTGCTTGGCACTGCAGTGACAAGTTGCCATCTATCAGTTAAATGTGAGTATTTTTCGTTTCAATTTTTTATTAAATAATTTAGTTTGCACATAATTGGTTAACAAATTTTCAAGGTCCAGAAAAGGATAGCATTGCAGCAACTAAGGTAGATCGTTTACAGTCTAATGACACTGAGATTTCAAAAGAAAGCAATATTGTCACTATCTTGACACCTGATTCTTCCACCAAAAACATTTTAATTCCTGCTACTAAAAATTCTGAAATTCATTTCAGAAGTTCTCCAGTTTTTAAAGGAATGTCAATGGAAGTGTCCGTTCCAGATATAACCACTAGCGTCAGCACTGTTCAGAAGGAGATAGCGTTAAAACAAACAGCTGAAGCAGTCGCTACCATTAGGCAAGAAGTATTTTTGGATGTTATTCAGCATCGCAGCTTTTCAGAGACTGCCTTCACGTTTAACAAGGCATCTAATAATGACACGTCTGAAAACATTTCAGAAAACAAATTTGGATTAAAATCACCAGTTTCTCTACGAAAGAAGAGAAGATCAGAGCTCATCAAAAATAATGACGTTTTTAAAAATAATGAAAAATCTGTACCTATATTAGCATCATTTCTTCCAAAATCTCTTACTGTAAATGACGAAGAAGCATTAACTTTTACATGTTCCGTTATTAGTTCCTCTCCTCTTGAAATTGAATGGTATCACAATGGCAAAAAAATTATTGATACTCCTGATATACATACAATATTTGATGAAACAACTGGAATAATTGGTTTACAGTTCCATGAAATATTCCCTGATGACGCTGGTATTTACGAATGTCATGTAAAAAATAACTATGGTTCAGTCATTACAACTACAGAATTATTCGTTAACGGTTGGCATAATTTTTTTAAGAGTTGAGGTTTTTATTAAATATTATAAAAAATTTTATTTTTTTCAGAAAAAAGCCCATCGAGCGTTTATCAAAGTTTTTCTTCAACTCCGCTCTCATTTGCAGAAAAGCAGGACCGGCTTTATAGTACTAATATCGATGTGCCCGTAAAAGAAGATGTTGAATCATCACCCGCCATATTGTCAATAGCGAATATAAATTTTGCCGCTTCTGACGAAATAAAGGATGTAGCAGAAAATGCTAAAGAGATGGAAATTAATTTGAATATAATTAAGAGTAGCAATATTGCGTCCTCAGTTGACAAAGAAAATTCTTACATTTTGGAGGTTTCTATCGATCAAAGAGTTCTCTGTTGCAGAAGTATCGTTGACATTGAGGAGGTACTCCCAATAAGCCAGTGGAATCCACAATTAACCTCATCCAGTCTTGCACTTGTGTGCCACATCAAATATGTTTGTTTAGTAGAGGTCTTGTATGTTGTTGACCCAACAGCATCAGTGAAACCACTGATCATGCCAGTCTATGAGGAACTCACTCTTGAAACACATTCAGCTATGCCATCTGAACATTTGTTTGAAAGTTGTTTGACCAATCAAGTTAACATTGAGTATAGAAAAGATATCTTGAAGGCACATACGACTGATTCGGTTTCTTTGCAGGATGACGAGGAGTTTTATGATTGCACCGAGTTCGATGAAAATTTCATTTTTTCAGAGTTTGATTCTAATAAAACAGAACCACCAAAAGAATTTACTTCTGAACTGAACGTTGAGTTAGAAACTTCATCTTTTGAAGAAAAAAATAAACCTATTGAAGAATTGTCACACGTCACTCTAATAAGTAATTGATTTTGTTAATAAGAATGTATAAACGTTTACAATTTTATCAATTCATTTGCAGAGGGTTTTCCATGCTGCATAGAAGTCTTGTCGTCGCATCCTATAACGCTGGAGTGTGCCTTTGCGGCTTCGGATGCACTCGATATTGCTTGGTTCAAGGTTTTGTTCAATTTGGTCTATTTACTTACTCTATTATATAATCATGTACATGCATAAATTTTTTATTTATCTTTTGAAAATTTATTCCAGGACAATAGAGTTTTAAACAGAAATAGTCCTTATAACATAGAAATTGATGCTGAAAAGATGTCCAGCACATTAAAAATTGACGCAGTTGTTGATGAACACGAAGGAGTTTATAAATGTGTGGCACAGTGTGGGCAAACTTCCGTAGAAACATCTGTTGTATTATTAGTAGAAAGTATGGCAAAATTTCATATGGAAATCTGCATGTGGTTTATTACATAGATCATTATGGCGATTTTTTCGAAGGCTTCCTACGAACTGATTTTTATTAAAATAATAAAACCATTTAATTGAATGTTTTCTATTAAATTTAGATTTTTTTAATTCATATAATTTTCTTTGTTAAAGTAGATATATATTGATTTTTTATTCATAATATTTGTTTGTTTATATTATTTCGTTGTATATTCATTTGTTGGTCGAAATTTATTTTTTTGAAAATTAATAGCTTTTTATTAAATGTGTTTTCCATAGATATGTTTGTATGTTTTTTCGTTTATTAAATTTTATTGCCGTTTTGAAAATTAGCTTTTCATTGATACTTTGAAAATACTGAAAATGCTAATTGGTTTTGTTTTGAGGATTTTTTTCAGTAAATAAAACTGTTTTGTTTCAGTTTAGTCAGATTATATATAGTGCATCATTTATGCGGGTTAGCTTTTTACATTAGTTATTCATTGAATTTATTATATTTATATTTTTTGCAGGATTGCGAGAGGAAGGGTCTACTTTGTTAGTTCATTTCTTTGGATATCAATTTTTTTTTGTTACAGAGTACTAACAGTATATAAATTATTTTGGATATTTCATCTCTGAAGTTGATTTTAAAATAGGCCAGATTGTTTCAATTGTTCTCTAAATACAACAGTTAAATTTTTTTATTACTGACTTAGTACAATATTTTAATAATATTCTTAGAGACAAAAAAGATCCAGAACTTTCAACGAGCCATTTAGCACTCATTGATGATGATGGATCAAGAAGTTTCAATGTTGAACTCAACAGTAAGAAAGAAGACCGTAGTGACCATGCGGTCGAAACTAAGCCTTTTGTGGAAAGCATGACATCAGATGATTTATTAAACAGCCTGGGTGTTAATAAAGAAGATTTTAAATATAAATTCAAGCATACTTCTATATTTGATGACAACGTCACGTCCGTTGACCATTCTCCTGTTATCAAACCTATGTTTGAAGATTTGTCAGCAGATTTTAACAGCGGACAAAAGAAAACATCAATTGATGTGAAAAAATTAAACGAGAACAAAGATATAAATGAAACTAAAGAATCCTCATTTATCGACGACACAGTTGATTCTAAGATTCAAAATTTTGACATTCTACAAAATATTGAAGTTAAATCAGACAATGAAATGTTCTTTGAGATTGAAAATGAAACAATATTTAAGCCTGCATTTCCCGAAATAGAAAATGCTGATTTGGCTGTCGGAATGGAAGGTGTCGCTGTTAAGGAAAGTAACGAATCTGGTGAAGATGTTATGGCATTTTCTTCTAGGACATCTGATTTCGATAATAAAGATTTAACTTATATCAGTCAACATACTCCTGCTGCTATCATTGCTACTGCAAACGAGTCTACCGCTGCCACTGCATCAACCACTACTACATTCACGACAATTAGTACATCTTTCCCTTCAAACAATAGAGACTCAATAGAAAATGATGAAAAAAAATTGCTTGAAGATGAGAAAGCCAGAGAACAAAAATACATATCCACCCTTACAGAAGAAATTACTTACAAAGGTTTGCATTATAACTATAAATAATTACTGCTTTAAGATTATGTTGGTTGATATTGCATAAGATTATGTTGGCTTGATGTTTCAATTAGTTTATACATTTTTACAAAGAGTAATGGTGTATTTTTTTACATTTTTGTACAGTCTAATTTTTTTGTTTAATTTTGACTTGAAAACGATTTATGTACTAGTGGGTCTTTATTATTGTCTACAATTTAAAAGTATTTTCTTATTAAAACAGTTCTGTTGTAAATTTTTTATCTGACTTTTTATATTTTCACGGATCATTTAATAACTTATTTTTAATTAACATGTTTGTATTTTACAGATAACAACTTGCTCATATTTTTTTTTCACATTTTATATTTTACTTTTAACATTTACTGCATGTGTTTGAAATTTAATGAATCTAACATTGTGTTTTTGTACTAATGTAATTATTGTTCATTTATGTAATTGTTTATTTGTTTAATACTAACCATAACGTTTTAACGCCTGTTAGATGTGAATAACAAGCCACACAAATTTTCGACGAGAGTTTTGAAAACGGTTGAATACACGAACACTAACAGAATGAAATCATCAACAAAAGATGATGCTACTATTGCTGACACAAGTTCTTTGATGACGAAATCTCCAAACAAAACTCATGCCGAGTCTGAGTTTGAGTGGAATGGTTATAACGGCGAAAATAATGACAAATTAAATGAAAGCTACATTGGTTCGAGAAGTTTCGATGATGACTATCATACTTCGAAGATAAATGACCTCGAGGAGCAGTACAGAAGATGGAAAGAACAAACTTCATTAGAATTATCGTCTGATAATCACGGTTTCTATGCCGATGCGAACGATACCTACAACGTCACCCCTACCATCGACAACGTATCAGGTGTTTCCAATCACACATATTCTTTCAGAGATGATTTTGACAAACATACTTCGATGGAGACCTATAACGACAGTTTATCTCCTAACAACATCGCACATACACTTAGAGATAAATCCACAGGAGACCATTTAGAGTCCAGTCACAAAGGCATCCAATACAACAGCAACAACGAGGCTACTCTTCTCGCACCGATCGTCACACAGAACATCATTATTCAACCGGCTGAAAAAACGTCCAAAGTTCAGGAAATTGAAACAACTGATGAGATTACCGTAGAAACTAAAGTCACGCAAATTAAAAAAGTTTCGTTGAAGCTTTCAGAATCTGGCGACATTGATCTGACGGAGACCACGGAGATCCAGACTGACACAGACATGAAGGAAACCAAGAAAACAAAAGAAAAGGAAGAGCTAATAATTTCGCATGCTATTGAGGATTCAAAAAATTTGTATTCATCTGCGAGCAATGACGTTGAATCAGATCAAAATTTCAATAAGTCTAGTGAAGACCACTTAAGAAATGAACAATCTTATGTTGACTCAGCAGATAAAAAGGATGACCTCTACGAATCCTTAAAAAGTTTCCCACTTGAAAAATATGATTTGTACTCAACTTGGGATGTTGAAGAAGGAAGTAATTTGTTTGTAGCGGTAAAATCATATGATCCGGAATCAGAGGAAGTCATGTCTCTGCATAATGAAGAAAAACTGGAATTGATCGACGGAAGGTTTGAGGACTGGTGGCTTGTTAGGAAGTTGTTCGATGATCGCAAAGGTTTCGTTCCATCGAAGTTTCTTCAACATAAATCGGAATTTGATAAATCAATCAGTGATAAGATATCCAATCAGATTCATCAAATTGTCCCTCAGCAAAGTAATTTTTTTTATAGCTAACAGTTTTACGGTATTTAAATTTATTAACAACTCAAATTATTTTTTCATTGAAGCATGTTTAACTATGATAATTCTTCTAACGAACATTCAAGTTTATTACGTATGTTGTTATATTTTAATGCATGGTAAATATTTGGTTCGTAACAGCCGAGCTAAATGATAATCTGGAGGAGTCACCTGCCATGATGTACAAGTTGCTGACAAATGTGACCGTTCGAGATGGAGAGCCTGCAAGGTTTGAATGCATCATATCAGGTAATCCGAGGCCTACTATCACCTGGTTCCACAACCACAAGATTATCAAACCTTCCCCTGAGTTTCTGCAGTTTTATGATGAGTTTGATAACACCTGCAGTCTTTCAATCAGAGAAGTTTTCCCTGAAGATGGCGGTAGGTACACCGTCGTCGCCAAAAATGTTACTGGACTGGCTTCTTCTTCCGCTGAACTGAATGTTATTGAAAATGAACTCATCAAAGGTGTCACATTTGAACAACTAAGTTTCAAACCTTGGTGTTTTTTTAGTTTTCTCGTCAAATTCTTAGTTTGTGATTGCATGGCTAGATTCATTTAACTAACTCTCACTTATTATAAAAACGTTATAAAATGAGTCTTCCGTCTTGTTGGCGTTGTAAAAATGTTTTTAATTGTCTTCTATAACATTAGACGACGGTAAGAGCAGCACTAGATCATCGCGACCTCCAGCTTTAACGGTTAAGCCAAAATCCCAGTTTTTAGATGAGGGACAACAAGCAAGATTTACTTGCCAGTTTGCGGGAAAAGTTCCTCTGAAGGTTTTTATTTATTTCCTTTTTTTAAATTCTCCCTTTAATATCTTAAAGAGGTGTTTACGACAAACTGAACGATATTTGTAAATTCGCGTGGATCAACGCGTTGGACACATTGCGTGTGATAGCCGGGATGGGATCTTTTTGCATTTGAATCCAGTCACTTCAACAGCAGTACTAAGCACATCAACCGTTTTACCAACTATTTCTTTTCAATTTTTTTATGATATTTTAAAGTTATTTTTTGGCGGTTTATTTATTGAAAGTCTGTAATTATATAAATGCAGTCTCATTATTTAAACTGCTTTCCAAGATATCATGGACGAAAGATGGGCACTTGGTTGCTGCAACTGATAGAATACAGCAAACATTGTTGGAAGATGGTGACGATACAACACATTGTGAACTTGTCATCAACAATCTCGATGTGAAGGACAGTGGCAAGTATGTCGTGTCTGCCAGCAATGATGATGGCGACATTGACTGCACTGTCACTCTCAGCGTCAGAGGTTAGCGCTTGTTCATTCGCTCTGCTTACTTCTCCATATAAATGATTCTATGTTCTGCTTTCATCAATCCTCATGAAGCTTTACAGTAATTTCGTTGAAATATTTAACTCGCAGGTGAACAAAAGCAGGTTAATCTAAAATCAGGACTTAAAAAGACCACAAAGTTTGTATCAAGTTTAATTTATTTTAATGATATTTTTTAAATTATTGAAATTTGTAAACAAAAATTTTCTACATTCAGAACGAATATTGAAGAAAGTACTGAGGTTCAGTTAAAAAAAGAAGTGAGCATTATGCGGAGTGTAGTTTTTTTAAATTCATCTTTCATAATATTCACCATTATTTGCTATGACTTGGCGTCACTAATTTTTATTTGCATCGTTTACATTCACAATCATTTTCACGATCCCATCTTGCGTGTTGTCAGACATCCACTGAGGAGAAGATAAATAGGAAACAACTGAGCAGCCACACGGAAGAGGATTCCAGTTTCGGGAGCGCAGAAGTTACGAACAAGCAATTCGTCACAAACCATCAAACTCTTCCAGACAACAAAACTTCTACCCCAGGATCAGAAAAAGTAAAAAACAGGGTTAAGTTGATTGAGAAAGATCGCGAGAATGTACATAAAATCAGCAGTGTTAGTGCTAGTGCTGCTGCTATGTTTCATACTAACCCTAACCCTTCTGATAATGTGTTTTCTGCTAATAACACAACTAATCAAAATAAGCATGTTTATCTAAAGAAGAGATCAGTACACTTGAATAAGGTTGGACGATATTGTATTTTGATTTCATTGTTTTCTTTTTAGATATTGTTTTCAACTACAATATTGAATCTTTCTGTAACGAAATCAAAAAGCACGAAAAAATATGCAAGTTTTGTTGTCAAATATTTTTTTCATAATAAATTCAATAAAACAAATACACTTTAAAAAAATTTTTGCAGTATGTTTATAATTATTTTCTATAAAGATATGAAATTATTTTGAACTTTAAAAAAGTTATAAAACAATTTTAACAATGTTCTAACAAAGATGTTTTGAATCATTTTAAGAATTTTTCCGCAACAGATTTTTTGTTAAAAAACGGATTTCATTATAGAAAGACTTTATTGTGTTTTAAATTTGATTCGGACATTAATAACTTGAATCATATCAAATGCTAATTACTGTCAGTGTGATCGATTTCGTCTCATTTGATTCTGTCCATAGTCATTATTGCTTGTTCGCGTTGTAATTAAGTCATGTTTTTAGTAGTGCTTGTTGCTTGTTGCACATGATTTACTAACATTTTAATGATGATCTTGGTATGCAAGATACATTATAATTAAATGACATGTTAGTTAATTGTTTAGTTATGTATATGTTTATTGATGTATGCTATATAAATATATTTGATTAAATTGGTTGGTTGATTGGTTGATTGATTGATTGATTGATTGATTGATTGACTGACTGACTGACTGACTGACTGACTGACTGACTGACTGACTGACTGACTGACTGACTGACTGACTGACTGACTGACTGACTGACTGACTGACTGACTGACTGACTGACTGACTGACTGACTGAATGAATGACTGACTGACTGACTGACTGAATGAATGACTAGCAAACAGTTAATGTAACTTTTATTAATAGCGTGATTAACATTTTCAATGACTAGATTAATAACACTTGAATTCTCTTTCTAATGACAATGTGAATGCCAGTTTCAACAACAGTACAGTACAGTACCCTAGTACAGAGGCGTTAAGTGTTGCATGTTACTAATAAAAATTACATTCTGATCGCAACATAGATATTAAATATAAACATTTTTATAGCAACATAGATATAAAATGTAAACTCAAAAATTTTCATTCATTACGTTCTTGAAAGGATGTCATGCACATCACTAAAAAGATGAGAGATGTGACGGTTTACGAGGGCGAGACGGCAATATTTGACCTTCAGATTTCCCACCCCCACCCCACACCCACGTGCGTTTGGTTGTTTCAAGGCAAACGAATTCCCAGCGATGAGTATTACCACAGTGAAGTTGGCGACGATGGTGAGGTCAAGCTGGAGGTCAGAGAGGTTCACGTTGATGATGCTGGTCAGTTATTGTGAATGTTACTAGAGTTTATGGGGTGAAAGTTAGTTAATGAAAATGCTGCTAGTGTAAATGGGGTGTCATCATTTTCGATACAGCTGGTATATCCGTTTTTCAATGCGTTGGCCATCATGTTTTTGATGTTTTGTTTGTTAAAGTTATTGATTCATTCAATAAGCAACATCAAAGTTTAAATTTATTTATTGAACAATTGATTTTCATTTTAAAGCTGTTAAACTTACCCTACACACGAAGGTTTATACACAGTTCAGTTGTCTAATGATCGTGGGACCGTTGAGGCGTCTGCCTTTCTAACCGTTGAAGGTCGGGACACGGTCTTCATACGTTGCAATATTTTCTTTTTTTGATTTTTAAATAACGTTTTCTTGTTCTACTCATGTTGTAATTATTTTACACAAGTCGCGCATCTATTTACATTAGTATGCAAGCACCAAGAGGGCATTAACAACTTTTAGATTTTCAGCAACTTTAAATATATTTGCGTTAATTCCATAATTATAAAGAAGTACATCGTGAACTCAACTTGCCAGAATTTATTCTGTGTTAGCAGCGAAGAGATAGTGAAACACGAATATCCATTTTTTAGTAAATTAAGTAAAGACACTGAAGGATGTTTTTTTGGCGATTTTGCTTGTATCAGTTTAAATTAATATATGAATTTTTTACAGAGACAACTTTTGAAGAAACTTATCAGACGAATGCCGTCATTTCGAAAGACGATGTTGAAGATTCGTTGGAGAGCAACGTCACGAGGTCTTCGCGTTCTTTCATACAAACTCAGCAACGTAAAGACTCAAAATCAACGAGTTACTCTGCTGGCGCAAAATCCAACTCGACGGAATTCGTGGAGGTGGAAATTGTTGTGGATGCCGTTCAGAATGAAAAGATTGATGCCGATGGATTTGTTCATGAGGATGTCGTCGACATGACGGTCCACAGTGCCAACGTCAACTTCATGTTATCGAGGAGCATCTGTAACGAAGACAACAGTTTTTTGCTGGTCACTTCACTGGTGGATGTTCCAATCACTGACGTTTATGGTGCTGCTGCTGGTTCCCCTGATTCATTCACTCCACTCAAGACTGACGAGGAGAATTCTGTGAAAACTCAGCTGGACACAAGCGTTATTAACTTCATCCCGCCCGCCACAGCAACAATTTCAAATTTGAAAACATCAACTGAACCAAATTTAACGTGCACAACAACACAATCTATTTTGCTCTCGGAAACATCATCACTTGAATCCGTTGATGCGATAAAAGATGATCTGGCAATTGTGGTGACAAGCAGCTTGGTAGGTGTCGCCGATAGTGAAGATCGACCTTCTCTCACATCTCGTACATTTGCAACGCAACTTGAAACAGATATTATTACGGAACAAACTCTACAACTAACTTGTCATGCCGTGCAAATTGTTGAACCGACGATTTCTAACAACATTATTTTAAATGACAATGGAACAACTGAATATAATGACGAATCTAATGGTACTAATGATATCAATAGCGATGAAAGTACAGAAACTGGCAAGACTACTTCAAAGGCTGTTGAAAATGATGTTGCAGTTGTTGTTGAAAATGTTGTTTCAGAAGTTGAAGAGGATGAAAGTGAAGATGTATTTGTTGATGCTAAAGTGTTCCATGAGGGTGATGATAGAATAATTAAAGATGACGAATATGAAGTTGCAAAAACAAGTTTACCTGTTGAGAAAGCGGAAGACGTACCACAAGTTGTTGATAAAATTATCAACGAAAATAAAAATGTCATCGAGCTCGTAGAAAAAGTTGATTATGTTGTTACAAATGTTGGTAGTGTTGAAAATGTTGCTGATGTTGGTAAAATTGAAGATGTTTTTAGAGTAGAAGATGTTTTTGCAAATGTTAGTAAAGTTGCAGATGTTGATAGAGTTGAAAATGTTGCAAATGTTTGTAAAGTGGAAGATGTTGATAGAGTTGAAGATGTTGTTGCAAATGTTAATAAAGTGAAGATGTGA